CCGCTTAATACGACGCTCCATTCAAAACACAACCTTAACTACATCAGTAAATATAAAGGTTTGTGACACCAGTGTAACAAAAGAAACGAGGTGGTTTGTATTTTAATTCGCAAGGAAATTTAGTTTTGAGTCGGTGTACTGTTGACTTATTCTGTACTTTTCTGTAAAAATTGGCAGCAGACGATTTAGATGCGAAATGATGTCAGAGAATGGACATGCCTCTTCGTGAACACATGATGTTCGCACCTGCAACTGACGTAGCACCAAGGGTGACCTTGACTCTTGTGTCGCGGGGGGGGTTGGAGACCTGCTTAAAATTTACGTGACTGTTTTGGGGTTGCGTTTATGGCACGAAACTTCATCAGATGAGGTCATTGTGGTTTTGTGGTGTGTGAGAATACCGAAACAAGAAGACAACGAAAATGAAATGCTGAGTGCATCCGCACTTAAACAAAAGCTGTGAACTTGGCAGCTTTGTTGTAGCCAGAGAACTAAACCAGGACAGTGAAATATTTAAATAATTCCACAGGATGACACATGAAAGCTTTGAATTGGTAATAAATCTTGTGGGAGACGTCGAGGGGGGGTGAAACCCACTAACTTGAGAAATGCATATCCTCGAGGAATGATTTTTAGGCCTAATTGGGCTATTTATAATGTTTAAAACTTCGCGATGTTCATTCTTGTAAAATTAAAGTGCAAATAAATGTACCGAAATTTCACCAGGTACTCATATTGCGTACAATGTCGAAATACTAAAATTCTGACCAGAATTCGGTTTTGGTCTCTTTCGGCGTCTGAAGTTCTATTCTGTACATTGTATTGATTTGCGCATTAAGCAGATCGTAACGCCATCACATCGACAGAAATGAACGGCGACTGTCTGCCAGTGCCTTAAGTGGTTTATATACATTTCGCTTTCACAAAACGAGTCATTAGTAACCGAGTTACTGAGGTACCAGATAAAATACGACAAGAACCGAGTGGGAAGAAAATTCATTACGAAAATCAAGGTCATATTATTTCATAATTTACATTGCAGATTTACGTCTGATTTGTTGTTCAACGTACTGACTGCTGAGTTGACTTTTAACCTACAAATCCACCAGCGCAGCTGCGCTGATAGGCTGATCTCGGCCGTCAAAATTATGGAGCAGTAGACCGACATGTGAAGATCATATGTGGGTCAAACGATAGTTGCAACGGTGTTGCCGGAGTAACTTTCACTGGGCATTATCACACCTGAAGAATCTCTTCCGGCACAGACTGCACGCCACTCCAGAGATTTCACGTCCACTCTTCGACTTCAAGAAATATATCACTTCATAAACCATCCCCTCGCCGCGCTGTGTTCGTAAAAGCAGGGTTATTTAAACAGGTCCTGACGCCGACTAGTATGACCGTGACTGACTTCTGTGATGCCGTGTAGTGTAATCTCGTAGAAATTGGCAGACGTTTCAGAGTGAAATATAAACGTCTGAAACGTCCGTAAATTTGTACGAGACCGCATGGCGTAACAACCCAGAAGACAGCCTTAATATTTATAATACACTTCTACCGTACTGCGTATAAAACAGTACCTTTTACTGAACGAACGTTACAAATTATTCCCGGGGCCATTTCACGTAACTCGATCTGTAACGGAAACTGTGCATAATCGTTATTATTTTCAGGAAGAGTTTGTCAAGTCCTTACCAGACGTGAAAGAAGGTCGACATACATTAGAAGCAACGCGTAGGTCTAATAAACTGTGCGTGGTTAACGCTGTTATACTGGTAATACCATAAGAGCATTGATAACCACCTAATTACCTTATTGCAACATGAGGTTGACTGTGGACGCAGAGTCTAATGCTATTCTGTTGAAAAGCAGTTCCAGCTCTTCATATTATTCTGAAATATCAACACGTCAGCTGTGCGAAAAATTTGTCTTTAACTTTCAGTTTGACAGAGATTTAGTAAGGGCGTGAAATTTGGTATGGATCACAAACATATTTCGAAACAATTTATAACATACTGATCATGAAATAACAATTTCAAATATGGCAAGCTGTGCGAAACGTCAATTAGGCCCACTGAAAAAATGCAAACAAATAATCTACAGGCCTAACAAACTGATACCAAAAATTAATTTTAATTTTCAGAATAATATTCTCTCGCACATTTACAGTTGCAACAATAATATAACGTGGCCCGATTAGAATTCAGTCTTTTACCATATCCACACAATCCCAGAGTTACACCTCGTGATCTCCATTACATTTCGTAGATGCATTATAAACATCTGTTAAACAAATAATAACACATCTCAAAATCTGTAGGCCTCGAAATATGTAAGTAAAAGTAAGCAAAGATTTCCCCGATACATGCCGTAATGCCGCCTGGATGTACAAACAGCTACTACTCGTTCTTGACCTCCTCACTAGATGGGGTTGAGTTAGCGCGACGCAGTAGATCGAGGACATAAGTCCGAGTGGGCTATGGAGCCGGTTTCGAAAATCGTTTGTTGATACCGGGAATCAAACTTCTTGGTCAACTACTTTACTGACTGAGCTACCGGCACACTCGAAGCAGACTTCAACGAGTTCGAGTCGGAACTCAAGTGTTATCGGTGATGACAACGAACAAAGTGTGGGCAAGGGGTACCAACCGGTAGTTCAAAACATTTAAATTTTTAATATTAGAAAAGCAGAACAAGGTCCACCGATGATTCTGAGTAAGAGATAGAAAAGTATAATGATAGTAATAAACTGTGTAGGTGTGAACTCCGTGATTTCTATCAGAGTAGAAAGTTAATAAATTCTACTTTAGAAAGAAGTACCAACGCTGAACTCGATACTAGCAGCCGCAAGCAATAATTCTACCTCATATAAAAAGAGCATTTGTATTAATCTGGAGAATCATTTTGCTAATGAAAAGTGGGTTACAAAGCAATTCACATAAAAAGTGACACGTTCCCCAATGGCATCAGAAATTTGCGGAATGAACGGATGATCGAGGCAGCTGTTTATTTAGGACAAATCTTAAAGAACAAACCTTTTTAACTCTTTACGTGGAACTTCGCATGATTGGGCCAAAGTGTTCTAGTCCCGATGCGTCCCAATTAACCGGAATCCACTGCATTGAAGTTTGTGTTTCTACTAAGGACAACAGCGCAAAAAGAAATGGAAATATAAGCCAATTACAAAGATCAGACGTTCTTTCCTAGCAGAATTTCCCATCCTGAGACCACATTAAACAGCAGCAAGTAGACTGAACACGAACAACGATTTGAGTCGGATACAAAATTCGTGTTTTTATGTCAAAATACTGTCAATGACAAAACGGACGTTAACCGTTACGAAATATCTGTTCCGGAAAAAGTTATTCCAAACCTATCTCTACAACGCGTAACCGTCCACATCCCACGGCACATAAGAATTATAATGGCTGTCCATTTTGATATAACCGGGGGCGTATCTCAGATGGTAGAGCGCTCGCTTAGCATGCGAGAGGTACCGTGATAGCTCAGTCAGTATAGTGACTAGCTACGGGCTGGACGGCCGGGGTTCGATCCCCGACTGGGGCAGAGGATTTTTCCTCTAGCCTCTGCGTCCAGACCGGCTCTGGGGCCCACCCAGCCTCCTCTACAATGGGTACCGGGGTCCTTTCCCGGGGGTAAAGCCGGCCGGGGCGTGATGCTGACCACCCACCCCCATCTAGTGCCGAGGTCAAGGAAGAGAGGAGCTATACCTCCACTCACCCCAAACGCCTACATGGCGTATAGTGGGACAAACTTTACTTTACGTTACTTCCATTTTGATATGTTATTCTTCCCTGTTCATCCAAGTCTTCGAAGAGGTCTCTTCCCTTCATACCTTCAGACAGGAATCTGTTGGCGGTAGAAAACGAAGACGACCTTCAGAGAGCCAATACGAAACTAAATACAGTGGATTCCGGTTAATTGGGACGCATCGGGACTAGAACACTTTGTCCCAATTATGCGAAGTTCCATGTAAAGAGTTAAAAAGGTTTTTTCTTTAAGATTTGTCCCAAATAAACGGCTGCCCGGATTAAAAGATTGGCCCATTTAACCGGAATCTACTGTAATTTCATGAAAGAACAAAATATAAGAATTTCGAGCAGAATAAATAAACACGACGGACGTAAAAATGGGTGAAAGTTGAAATAGACGACAGATGTGTACTTTGGCTGTAAAATATTGGAACGATAACATAAATACGGCCTAGAAGAAAGCAGAGCAACACATAAAAATTAATGAGTGTACTAAAACGAACCTAAGGAAAATAATTAGGATGGAAGTAAAAAAATCACCTCACCCCAAAAATGATTTCCCACGTTTCAGTTTTATGTTGTTTTTTTACGTAAATACGTCTATATTTTAGGGTCAGTGTCATTCGGCAAAAAGTGGAACGAAAAAGTGAAAGGAAAAGTGTAACAATGGTTTATCAACAAATAAACAACAATGGTTACCTAGGAAACTTAAGCGTAACTAATTCAAGTTGATTAAGCAAAGTCTTAATCAAACTTATCTCAATTGTAAAGCATGTATAAAGCAAATATTTCGAATAAAACCAATAAATTAACTTCCTTTCCGTATAGACGTATTTACGTCAAATTCTCCAGAACCGTGGTTCCACTGACAACTCTTTTGATCCCTGAAAGTGTCATACACACATTTCATTTCAATTAAAACTCCACAACTTGATCGACTTTTCATAAATCGGTCTGAATCTCCCCAACCAAATAGTTTACATTCCTCAACCTATAGGTCCCTTCAATTACCTTGAGCCTCCATCACAATCGCAATAATTAGATGAGTGATCATCATTCTATCTTATCCCGTGTTTACTAAATCATAAATTACCTTTCCACGATCTAATGCAGTTTCACCAATTAGATAAACGTGTGGCTTCTCTTACGCAAAGAGCCGTCCACTGCTTCTATCACTGAGTTCTTTAGCTTCCTCTACTGTTTTTTGTTCATGTTTTCATCACTTACCTCTTTCAGGCTTTGATTGAGAAGCACACTGGTAGAGCCGGTAGGACCATGAAAGCACAAATGGCTGCAGCGTTTGTTGACTTTCCAATACACCTTATGGCAAAAGTCAATCTTATATCGACATCACAGCACTTTTGTTTTGTTTTAGCCTCTAGGTTATGTTACGATTAATTAAGCCCACGTGCCTTTACACTAACACTTTCACTTATACACACATCTATATCATTACCGAGTCAGGCATAGATCGTGTGGTGTACAGACCGAGTCAGAGATACTGTGAGGCACAGACCGGTTCTAGCAGGGCCCAGGAGAAGCACAGAACGTGTCAAAAAGAGTAGGGTGAGACACAGACCGATATCAGCAGAGACTGGTTGAGGCAGAGGCAACGTCTGGCAGATGGCAGGTGTTGAAGAGATCATGTCGGGTATTGACAGGTTAAAATAGGTATCGAGTAGGGAAAACTGAAAAATTTGAACTTTTAAAATTTTTCGAAAAATCGAAAAATGCTGCAAATTGTATGAAAAGCGAAAATAACTAAATATTTTCGAGAAAAATTTTGAAGTCGGAATTTTTCAGGTTTTTTTAGTTTTGTGCGCCTGTTGGACATTTTCCTGCATTTTTCGAAAATTTTGGAATATTTTAAAATTTTCAAAATTTTGATAAAATTTAGAAATTTGAAAGTTGGAATTTTTCATTTTTTTTTAGTTTTGTGCACCTTTTGGACATTTTCACGCATTTTTCGATTTTTCGAAAATTTTGAAAAATTTAAAAATGGTTACAAATGGCATGAAAAGTTGGAATTTTTCACTTTTTTTAGTTTTGTGCACCTTTTGGACATTTTCACGCATTTTTCGAAAATTTTGAAAAATTTAAAAATGGTTACAAATGGCATGAAAAGCGAAAATAAATTTTTTTGAAATTTGTTGGATGCCCCTGACTTCCAAGATGACTTTTACCTCAATCTTGTTGACTGGTCTTCAGAGAATGTGTTAAGCGTGGGATTAGGAACTTGCGTATATCTTTTTTCTGCAAGCACAAATCAGTCTGGAGGGCTGTGTGATTTATCTGGAGATGGCACCTCTGTAACTTCAGTTGTATGGAATGAACACGTATTGGCCAGACTATTTTTACTCAAGTCGTTGAAAAGTATTTCTGTTAAATTTGAATTTGCTTGTAAGATTTGAGGTTTTCACAGCTTTGAGTATGAAGATTTCTGTCTTCTGGGTTGTTGCACTGTGTAGTATTTATCGCCCTGATGACAGAGGCAGTACGACCTCAGAAATGTTGGTAAACATCGACCATACTACACGGCGCAACAACCCAGAAGACAGAAATCTTGAATTTGGTTATTGCTGTGTTTGTTTGTTAATCTTAAAGTATTTGTTGTGCATACGTACATTATTAATTGTATAAGAAAATTATAATGCAGTGCGTAAAGTTGATGCAGCCTATGGTCACCCGTCACTAGAATACTACGTGACGTAATGGTTGGTTTACAATTGACACATTTGTTTATTGGAGAGCAGGTCCTGTTATTAGGTGGCCAATATTTCACGAGCTTTGCATAGCCTCTTCCCCTTTAACACTCTACTACTGTGCTTTTTCGTACCATATTATTGGAGGTTATGTTCAGCTGTAGCTAACATATGACTTGTAGAATTTGCCTTAGAAGTTAGAGTGAAAGGTCTCTTTCTTATAGAGCAACACTGGATCAGGAAGGGCTGTTATTTGTCTGACTTGACTTTTTATTGCTTGTCATAAAGTAACTTTCCTCAGGCTTGTCTCATGCCCCGTAAGTCTGTGAACAGCTGTTCTGAATTCTGAAAGTTGCCAAAGTCCCCATTTTGACTTTTCCCAATTTTGGCCTCTTGTTGTTGCTGCAATTCTGCTTCTGCTTGTCTTCCTTGTGCCCATCTCAAATCAGTGTCAAATGCTAACCCCATTTCTGTGGGTGCTTTCTGCTTTTCATTTTATGTTTTGTGTCCATGACAAAGGAAACACATTGTTATATCTGAAGTTCACTGTTGTGTGCATTAACAGAAATCTGAAGAATTTGGATTTCTTGTTACAAACTTCTGGAGGAAGGTGGAGAAGAATTGTGTCCTCCGCCTGCCAAGTGAGGGAGACCAAGCCCAAAATTTTAGTGGTTTGTCTTATAGAGAAAAGGGTAAGGGTTGTTGTTTTCAGTGGTCTGGCTAGTAGTGTGCCACCAGTCCACTAAAATTGGAGGAATACGTGAAGTTTTCTCGTCTCCTTTCCATACAAGCTTTACTGTTTGCTTGGATGTGGCTTTATCAATTAAGCAGTTTGACTGCTACACCATTTGATCATGTTTTCATGCACTAGAGGAGCAGAATGTTTCATCACTGGACCAGAGGTTCCAGTCTTCGCATTCATGCTTGCTTCAGAGCGAAGAAAAAAAGAGAATTTGCCCTTTGAGCACAGAACGACTGTAACTCAGTTGAGGTGTGTTCTGTGCAGGTACTTCTCCTTTCATACAAGATTCTTGTAATGATGGCAAATTAGTCCCTTTGTTTTAAGAATATTATTTTTGGCATCCTTATACTTTTTGGTACTAAACAGCGAGTTTGTGGGAAGTAGATAAAAATGTTATTCAGGATATTTTTAGAAGAAACTGTTGTTAAGAAGAAAATGAAAATAATAGAATATGGGAAACTCAGCCCATCTTCACCCAGCCTTAAGAATGTATATA